GGGAAAGTGTATCCGGAATGCCTTTGCAGCCATTCTCAACCGTCACCGCAAACAGTGTGCGCCTACTCCAAGGTGCCAGTTATGCAACACAATAGAAGAATCCACGATCCATTGCCTCTTCCTCTGCCCACATGCTACACCAACATGGCATAAAGTTGTCCCATCGTTCTCTCCTCCCCATAGCTCACCTAGTGGATATTTTCCATGCGAGATCAAGAAACACAAACCTCTATCCGATAGAACAACTTTTGTGTCTAGAGACATATGGAAAGCTCAAAATGAACGTATCTTTTGTAGTGCCATCTTGTCTCCCACGACAAACTTGATCTACGCCCTTCGTGATGCGGCTAAACCTCATTACTAGGGGTTGACACCCTATTTGGTAAACCGAACCAAACTGGAAAAAACAAAACTAAATAAAACGGGAACCTAATTAATTTTATTTGGTTTGGAATTCAGAAGCCAAACCCCCATATTTCGGAAACTAGGTCTCCACGAACGAACCCAAATTCCGAACGACTGACATGATAAACCAAAAATAATAAACTCACAACAAAAGTAAGTCCAATATCCTCACATCGACACATCCCAACCACTCTAGCACTCCATCATAGACCAACCCCCAGGAACCCGAACCCTATTCTACATCAACGACCCTCCATCTCCTTCAATTCAATGTCGCCACCACCGAGAGATGGAAGAAAAGATGAGGAGATCGAACTCACTCCTCTGGGTCTTCCCTATTTATTCTTCTTCGTGCTCATGATCTCTCCTCAATTTGCCCAAATCCAACTTCCAGTGACTCATCTCTCATCTCACTGACACTCACTCCAGAAAATTATATAAAGGTAAAGGAAAGGAAGAAGGCTAAGAAGAGTTGTCAACTGATCTCACAACGATTTTAACCGCGGAGGAAGCCGTTGACCAATGCCCCCTCTATTCGTTCTCTTCTCCTTGATCAGATCTTTGACGACGGAGAAACAGGTCGTCGGTGCGGTTCTTGATGGCAGAGGGAGTGACACGCTAAAACACAACACCAAACTGCGACCAAGTGTAATCGCAGTCCGGGAATGCAGTAAAATGGCACGTTCTATTATCAACCCGGGGTCTAGATCTAATGCCTACTCCGTGAATATCTATTATCTAGCCAACTAAGTCGATTGATTGTTGTTTTAAGCAAAAGCAGTAAGAAAGCAGGAAATGGTTCGATTTTCTGAAGTCAAGGAAGAGTCACTCGGGAATGAGTCCCCCTAGCTCCTTAGTTAGGTTTCAATTGTAATTACCCTGGGTTGATTTACTGTTGATTAAACTGCGGAAGATCCGACAGTAGCTTGGAATCTCTTAAGCTGACCAAGCCCTCTCAGTCAAACTACCCGGCAGACGACTAGTCTTCACCGGAATAGAAAGCTGAGGCTATAAACACAGAACTCCACTACTGGAATTGGATTCCAGTACAAAGCAGTAGATTGACTAACTCTCGTATAACCAATCTGCTACTACCGAATGATGTAGCTCTAACAACCTAATCAGATTCTATCTATCTCAGGTTGCAGCAGAAATCAAGAAAAGCTGACCAGACTTCAATCAATTCAATGAATCATGCATCATTCGATTATAATCAAGCAGTATAACAATCCCAAGTCATTACAATCAAAATCCCTAACACATGGAACTAGGGTTCTTCATACCCAAGTGAGAGAAAGTTCTACTCCATAGAGAGAGAGGGGAAAACAGAATACAAAGCAGTCATACTCATAATAATGGGAAGCATCTGCTCTGGGATGATGATTATCACTCCTTTGATGATCTCCAAGCTTGATTTGATGAAACCCAGCTCCAAAACCACTCTTAGGATGAGTTCTTCGCACTTTCTCTCTCTAGGGCTCTGTTTTTGCTCCAAAAAGTCCATTCTCTCACTTGTGGCTCGGAATTGGGTAAAAACCAAGATTTCCCGACTCACACGGGCAGGCCACACGGCCATGTGGCTTACCCAGTTGCCCGTGTGGCTTCCAAAATGCGGCGTCTCAATTAATCGAACTTCAGGCTTCCCACACGGCCAGGGTCACACGGCCGTGTGGAAATTCCACCATGCCCGTGTTTGTGCTCGGCCAAAACCACACTGCCACATTGGTGGCTTGCACGGCCGTGTTGTGTCTCCATCATGCCCGTGTTTAGCCTCGCTAAATCCCACACGGCCACATGGGTGACTTGCACGGCCGTGTGGGTTTTAGGAGTGCCCGTGTGGCCTCCTCAGCGCCTCGCCACGCGTCTGATCTTCGTCCAATCGACCCCAAACTCGCTCCCAAGCCTTCATTCACGTACTAGGACCTGAAATGTCACAAACAAGAACAACCTAGCATGAAATCAGCCTAAAACACGAGAATCAACATCTCAAACGGTGTAAGATTAGGGGCAAAAACAGTTGCAATTATCGGTCTATCAGGGAGCTTTCCTCCTCTTCAATGCACTACAGGAAAACTGGTTTCTAGTCACGGTAACTTATTCACGGTAATTTTTCCTGTGTTCAGAAGTATGCTAATAGTCACAGTAAAAGTTCCTGTGTTTAATTGTATAGTTCTAATCACAGTAATCAATTTCCCTAATTTTTAGTAGAAATTAACCGTGTTTAATTGTTAGTCACGGTTAATTACCGTGAACAATGTGACTAATAATTACTCACGGTTAATTACCGTGAACAATGTGACAAAATTGAAAATTAAAATTAGGATGAATTAAAAAGATGCACAATGCGATTAACAAATTTAGATACAAACATTTGGTGAACTATGTAAAATATGGATTGGTGGATTAAGTAATGTGTTATATAGTTTGGGTTGGGGTATTAATATATTATTAATGATATAGTTTGTCAAAAAATTAGTTTTCCATAGTGATGGACTGGAAAAATATCTCCCGCCTACAAAATTTTCCCTATCAAAAGTTTGGCTCCATATCCTAAAATTTTGGCTCCAACAATTCCTAAAGTTTTGGCTCCAATGAAACCTAATTTTTTTGGCTCCAATGAAACCTGCAATTTTCGGCTTCTCCCGCCGAGTTTTTTGGGGTTCTCCCGCTGCTAATTGGATTTAGGGGTTCTAACGCCAAAATTTGGGCTTCTGCAGTTTTACCAAATAAAATAGGAAAGAGCAATGACAGAAAGCTCTTTTGCGTTCCCAACCTAAGAAAAGCCTCCATCTCTTCATTCTCATCTCTCCTTGTCATAATCAAAATCTGATTTCCCTGTTAATCATCGGTTCAAATCCTTTCCTTCTTCCTCCTTTATCGAGTTTCTTCTCTGTAGACAGAATCCTTCATTCTTCCCCTGCTCCTGCCACTCCTGCAGCTGAGGTATGCTTAATTTCCTCCCTTTCTTTTATGTTCTGGTCGCATGCAACCGGTACTACCAAGGGTTCTCTTTGTACACGAATTTGGGGAGGGATTAAACTTTGCATCTAGAAGGATTCTGTCACATGCAACTAGAACTACCTAGGGTTCTAATATAGTTCATAAAAGATTATGCAGCATGCTTTAAACTTTTGTTTGTATAAATGGTAGGTAAGGCTTTAAACTCCTCCATATGCTTAATCTCCTCCATTCCATCGTATATCTGTTTGTATAAATGGTAGGTAAGGCTTTAAACTTTTCTTCCTTAATGGACTGAATCCATCTAATTAAATAAAGATGATGCAGCAGTAGCATATATAGTGTACTGATATAGTTCGTTGAATTGATTTAGTTTGTTAAAGATGATACAATTGCCTTCTTGTTATTTTGTTGTAGAATTGATAATGAAGGGTGATCAGAAACTTAAGGTGAACCGTAGTAAGAAGCTTAAGGTGAAGGGTGGTCAGAATCTTCAAAACACTGGTCAATCTCGTGACCGTGATGGTGTTACCAAAAAAATTCCAGCAAAATATGTTGCCCCTGGCTCACTTGGGAGGAGGGTTCCAAATCGACCAACCTCTTTCTCCAGCCTAATAGCTTCATCTTGTAAGTACTTTGTGTAATTTTTTTCACATTGTTCAGTTCTACTGCAAACTACTTATTTCTAACCTTTAACTCTGTTTTGCAGCTTCCCAAAGGGAAACAAAACCGCCTATTGCAACTGGCAACATGGCCCCTGCTGCAAACATGGAAGATCCACATGATGAACCTGCTGCAAACATGGATCCTGCTGCAAACATGGTTTCTAATGAAGAATCGACTGAAAGAGGCAAGTTTATAATTATGTATTTCCAGACTTTTCATTTATAGTTTATTTTTTAATTGAAGTTGTCAAAATTGAGCATTTGTTGATGTTGTTTTTTGAAATCTCTTGACATTGCAGCTAGACAGAAAAATGTACGAGGGAGAAGCATATGTAAAGCTGTTGCTAGACTTAGGCGTGGTGAGAAGCTGCATATTGCCTTCTACAACAATCGTGGTGCTGGCCCAAATAGAGCAACTTGGTCAAGCTTTATAGGATTGGTTGTTCGAAATCCCCAGATTTGTTCATTCAAATCAAGAAGATGGAAGTCCAAAGGCCGGGCAGAATTTGAGCATATGTGGGCTGCACTTACGGTAAGGAACAATATGCAATTGTGCCTTACGAGTCTTAACTGCCAAGCTATTCATATAATCATTTTTACTGTTTAAAGAGACCTAATGTTAATAATACAATGATTGCAAGAATATTTCTATAATCCTAATATGATAGAGTATAAGTATCATACTTTACTTCATATGAGGGATCGTTGGAACAAATGTAGGTCTGTTTTGTATCGTAAATATGCAAAACCATGTGGCTGTGAAGAAGATGCTCTGAAAAATAAACCAGATGAAGCAGGTAGCCAAGAAGATTGGGAATGGTGTGTGAAACACGTTTCTACACTGCTGAGTTTCAGGTTACACAAATTTTCTCATAGGTTCTAGGAATATTGACTTCATATGATTTACTGATGAGTATTTCTAATTTATTTCCTCCCGCTGCAGAAATTGAGCAAGAACAATGCTCTGAATAGAATGAAGAAAACTATGAATCATCATAGCATAAGCAAGCCTAATCGAGAGTATTTTTATGAAATGGTAAGCAAGCTATAACTTTTTCATGTGAAATAGAATTGTTGTGTATGTTTTTGCTGCTGTTACATTTTCCACTACTGCAATCTGCATACTGCTGCTGCATTTTGTTTCTGTTTTTGCTGCACCTGCTGCATTTTGTTTTTGTTCCTGCTACTGCATCTGTTCATGATGAATTATGATGTTTGAAAAGTTGGCTTTTTGGTTAATTAATTTGAATGATGTTTCTAGGGTGGAAAAGATGGGACTCCTCCGACAATAGATAAAGTGTTCTTTGAGACACACAAGAGCAACGGTGAAATAAAAGAACATGCAGCAAAAGAAAGACATGTAACATTGGTTCTTTAAGTTTGAAGTTATGTTCTTTATAGATATACATACATTGTGGTTTATGATTGTTAATTGTTTCATTTGATAGGCTGGACTTGTTGAAACCTGTGAAGCTAATCCAGAGTTAGATCCAATAGAGTTGGTAGAGAAGTTCTATGGCAATCAAAATCATGGACACATAATTGGTTTTGGAGGTGGATTGAGGCCTAAGGACTTGAAGGGTTCAGATGCATTAAGCAGGGCAGAATTGGCAAGCAAACTAAGGGACTCTAATGGAGAGAAGGCAGACATAGCAGCTATAATAGCAGAGCAGGCTAGAACCATGATGGAAAGGATGGATCAAAGGTCTGGCAGTCCGGCCACTAATCAAAATGGTCAATCTTAAGTATGTCTCCTTTGCTTTACGTCATATGAATCTGATGACCAAAATGTGTTGCTCTTCTTTTGTGCTTTATGTTTGATGTGTGTCTCAACACTGATTCTGTGCATTCTTATTGTTCATGGCAGGTATGGTAGTGTGGAGTTGGCTTTGATGGGATTCATGACACCAGTATTTTGCTGAGATTTTGTTGTTAGGAGGAGTTTTAGATATTTGTTGTAATCTTGTGAATGATTTTGGATGGGTGTCATGTAATAGTTGAATAGTTTTTGGGATGGTTAGAAATATCTAAAACTCTTCTGACTACTGATGCAGTATATATAGCATCTAGAACTATTGTGGCTACTGATGTAATATTATGGATGTATCCTTTAAAAATTTCTGTAAATCAATGTTAAATGTTGGGTACAAGTGAATGCAAGTTTCTGCTTTTTAGTTATATTGTATAAGTGTATTAGTGCATCAAGTGAATCGGATCCCATTCCCTTCCAGCAAATGTGAGTTAGTGCATCAAGTGAATTAGAACACATTCCAGCAAAAGTGAATTAGATCCATTCCAGCAAAATTGAATTGGAAGGGAAAAATTAAAAATATGAATACATGTAGACTCGAACTCGGTTGTTGAATAAAGATAGTAAAAGTAAACTATCTATCTAACCATCTTTCTAAAAGATTAATTATTATCAATTAGTGCATCAAACTTTGTATTAGAATGCTTTCTGTTTCAGCCCACGTTAGTAACCAGCCCATGGACGTTATTTTGTTCCTTGTACGTGGACAAAACTTTAAACATTCGTAATTTTGTACTCAGATATCCGATTGAGGTAATTTTTTTTATTTCATATAACTTTTCGAATTCTACGTAGCTGCAAACCGCCGAAGGGCCCGACTTTAAAAAAATGCACTTTAGTGATCTAACCGAAGAATTTTGTGATTTTGTCAAACTTTGAAGAGCTCTAGTTTTTCGATTAGGAATCCGTTTGATGTTTTCTTTTTTTCCTTTTATAGAGGTTTTTGAGTACTACATTCTACACTTATGGTAATGTTTCAAAAGAGACCAGCAAGCATTGTTTTAAGATTTGGGTAGTCTATTAATTATTTATATGAATATTATTAGAATCAAAATATCTCAACGCACTCTTGTCTGGTCTATTGGTTTAGTTCTTGAAATTTAATAAAAGTCACCACGGTTTGAAACTTGGGAAAGATTTTTTCACTCGTTAATTAGTCACTTTTTCCTTCTTGTCCTCTTGTGTACGATGCCTTTCTCCCTTTCTTCACTCATACCCTAATTTTCACTTTCCCCTTTCTCACCTTCATTCTCTTCCTTCGTTCCCTAATCTGAACACCAGCGGAGGGAGTGTTGTGCGAGCTTCACTCATACCCCAATTTTCAATTGCCCCTTTCTCCCTTTCCCTCTCTTCCTTCGTTCCCTAGTATGAAAATAAGAGTGTTGTGCGAGCGGTTCAAACTTTTTTCACCTCTTTCACCTATCTGCTCGTAGAACCAGCCCCAACCCTAATTTGAAAACCAACAAAGTGACGTGGAGGGGTCGGCGGGTGTAGCTGTGGAGCGCGTCGGCGGAGCTATAGCTGTGGAGGGTTGCTACGGGTACGGGTTGGTGGCAGCTGCTGTGAAGCGGAGCTATAGCTGTGGAGGGTTGCTACGGGTGCTACGAGTTGCTATGGGTACGGGTCGGCGGTTGCAGCTGTGGAGCGGAGCTTTTGGGAATTTCTCTATTTAGTTGTAAGGCAACAGTCTCCTTGTCCGAATTCAGCAAATCCAGGTGTGTTTTTCTGCCTTCTATAGGTTAGGTTTATGTCATTCCATGTCCTTACGTTGAATTAGAATATGAGATTTCTGTTTTGAATTAGGTGTAATGGCACCAAGTAAAACTTGGATGCTTGTCGACAATAGGCTCAGTGAGGATTATAAGAATGGAGTTTCAGAACTTTTAGACTATGCATTTCAAAGGAACAGGGGCAGGTATCAGATTCGATGTCCATGTGTTAAGTGTTGCAACGGAAAGTCAGGAACACGTGAGACAGTAGCTGCACATTTGGTCACTTATGGAATCGTCCCAAATTATACTTTTTGGTGCCATCATGGAGAACAATTGGGTGAGGCATTTGGACCAGCAGTTGAAAATGTGAATGATGCTTATGAGAACGAGAATGAAATGCATCATGTTTTGAGGGATTTGTATCCTAACATTGATATCGATGAAGAAGAACTTCATGTGGATTTTGAGGAAGCATACAATGAGTCACCCAATGATGAAGCAGATAAGTTCTATAGATTGCTAAATGACTCTGAGCAACCTGTTTATGATGGTTGTAAGAGTTCAAAATTATCAACTATAGTGAAACTTCTGCACATTAAGACTCTTGGAAGATGGAGTAATGAGCCATTTAACATGTTGCTCAAGCTTATGAAAGAGGATCTCTTACCCGAGGGATCATCTTTACCATATTCATATTATGAATCAAAAAAGATCATACAGGATCTTGGCCTTTCATACACAAATATTGATGCTTGTGAGCAAAGCAGTCAAAATCGGGATTTTAGCTAAAATCGAAAACAGGGGTAAAATCGGAATCGTAAAATCGAATCGTAGAATCGTAGGATTTTAAGTACCATATAGAAATTAACATATAATAATATTAATAAGGCAAATCATTAATAAAACAAAGAAATAAAACATTTAAAATGATAATTTTCAAGATTAATATTCCAAAATTAATATTTTAATTGTTATTTAATGCGTAACTCAAAATAATTTATGAGAAAGGGATAGAGCTCATGGGGTTTGCCTCTTGTTGTTTAGGTAGTTTAACTCAAAGTAGTATTCCGACATCATCTACTAAGCATGATTTAAAACTAAGAATAAGTGAACTCCTATAAAATAATTAATGTCATTGGTTAGGTACTAGTATACTCATTAATCAATTAATTTTTTAATAATGATGTTAATTCTTATGTATTTATAATATTATGACAACGGTTTTCCGATGAGTTAAACCAGGGGAAGGGAAAAGGGTCGACCGAATCCTAATTTGTTTTTTTTTTCTTTTAAAATTTTCATTTAATAGGAAAATATCTTAGAAGATCCCCGTCATTGGCCTTTTCGCCGAAACAGGTCTGCTTCTTTTGAATTGGCTCAAACCGCCTATTTTGTTCACATAAGATCAAAATCCCGATTTTGGTACGATTTTACGATTTTAACGATTTTAATCCCGATTTTGAACGATTTTAAGGTCCATCGATTTTATAGTAAAATCAGGATCGGAATCCCTAAGTAAAATCCTAAAATCCTACGATTTTACGATCAAAATCCCGATTTTGACTGCATTGCTTGTGAGCATAGTTGCATGTTGTTTTGGAAGGATGATGCACATCGTGATGATTGCAAGGCATGTCATGCATCTAGATGGAAAGTTGACAAGCGTAGTGGGGAAGTCATGACTAAAGTCAATGGGAAGAAATTGACAAAGAAGACTTTACGTTATTTTCCACTAAAACCACGACTTCGGCGGTTATATTTGTCAACAAAGATAGCTTCTCAAATGACTTGGCATTATGAAAACAAGAGTGACAGTGATATAATGCGACATCCATGTGATTCTTTAGCATGGAAGTCATTTGATGGGCTTCATCAATCTTTCTCAGCAGACCCTTGAAATGTGAGGCTTGGTCTAGCTAGTGATGGCTTTCAACCTTTTGCACATTCTAAAACTCCCTATAGTATCTGGCCAGTGGTTTTAGTTCCATACAACTTACCTCCTTGGATGATAATGAAGCCCTCCAACTTTATTCTATCCATGTTAATTCCTGGTCCAGAAAGTCTTGGAGATGCTATAGATGTATATCTGCAACCGTTGATTGAGGATCTCAATGATTTGTGGAAAGAAGGCATCACTACTTTTGACTCATCGAAAAGACAGAACTTTCAATTACATGCAGCCTTATTGTGGACTATCAACGATTTTCCAGCATATGCTAATTTATCAGGTTGGAGCACTAAGGGAAGGTTAGCTTGTCCTGTTTGCAACAAAGATACCAGGTCTGATTGGTTATATAATGGAAGAAAGTTTTGTTACATGGGTCATCGGCGTTGGCTTTCCAATGGGCACAGATGGAGGAAAAACAAAGACTCTTTTGATGGGACAAGTGAGAAACAAGGCCTGCCAAGAGTCTTCTCAGGAGATGAAATACTTGATCAAGTTCAAGATCTTGAGGGTATTTGTCTAACAAAATGCCCTACAGTAAAGGTGAAGATATCCCATGAAGAAAGAGGAGACAGCTGGAACAAAAAAAGTATCTTTTTCGATCTTCCATATTGGAAAACAGTGTTGTTGCGTCATAATTTAGACGTGATGCACATTGAGAAGAATGTATGCGATAATGTGCTTGGGACAATCATGGATTTGAAGGGAAAGACCAAACATACTATGAAAACTCGTCTTGACTTGGAGGACATGACATTAAAACCAGAATTACATCCTATTCAAGAAGGTGGGAAGTTGGAGATGCCACGAGCAAAATACACATTGCTGCGATATGGTAAACGTAAGTTTTATCACTTTCTAAAGAACATGAAGGTTCCTGATGGCTTCTCTTCAAACATATCTCATTTCATAAATGTAGATGAACATAATATATCTGGTTTAAAAAGCCATGATTGTCATGTTCTTCTACAACATCTTATTCCACTTGCCGTACGTGGTCTTTTACCGAAGGATGTCTGTGACCCTCTTATTGAATTGTCAGAGTACTTCAGGAGCTTGTGTTTGAAATCACTTAAGGTGCAAGAGTTGGACAGAATCAAGGCTAAGATTCCAGTGACTCTGTGTAAACTAGAAATAATATTTCCGCCTGCATTCTTTGATGTTATGGTGCATCTTCCAATGCATTTGGCTGACGAGGCTATGGTTGGGGGTCCAGTCCAATTTAGGTTGATGTATCCTATAGAGCACTACTTGCATGATTTGAAGTCATATGTAAGAAATAGAACAAATCCTGAGGCTTCCATTGCAGAAGGCTATATAGCTTCAGAATGTATGACATTGTGCTCTAGGTACTTGAATGGTATCCAAACAAAGTTCAATAAGGTTGACAGGAATTGTGTTGGAAATGATGTGAAAGATTTTCTTGAATTCTCACAAGTCGGACGATTCTTGGGTAGTCATGATAATGTTCATAGCCTCAGTCCAAAGGAATTAGAGCAAGCCCACATTTATGTGATGAAGAATACAGAAGAAGTGCAACCATTTTTCG